GGTGCACCTTGGTAGTGACTCAGAAAACACAAGAGGACATTATGAATCAAAAAAATAAGTCTTTACCTGTAATTAACTGTGCACACAAAAAGGAAAACGTGGTGATCGAGCAGCCATTAATAGTTGCTTTACTGGAGGAGAATACACCAGAATCAAATGCTCATGGCAAAATGTCCCTTTAAGTTGTGGTTCTTTTATAACATTTAATCCAAACAAAAATAAGTCTCTACCAAAAAAAGTATTTGAACCGTACACTATTCGGACATGTGTGGATAAGACACTGCACTCCTCACGTACCACGGGCCTCGTGGCCCCTTGTGTCCTCCATAAGTGCAAGAAAACAAAACCCAGCAATGAAAATACAAAATCAATGCAGCAACTAGAGTTGTAGGCAACAGTATGTGCGTGGCCAGGCCAGGCCGATGGTGGGATGTGGGTCTATGCAGCAGGGATGGACCAGAGTCCCCCCTTCCCTCCCTCCCCTTCCCCTGCCTGTTGTGTCGTGGGGCTCCGGAGTTGTCATGACAGGCTCTTTCGAAACAGGACACTAAGAGGAGGAAAAATAAAAAGAACACCCCAGCCTATACCAAAGTAAAGAAAGTAAGAATAAAAAAAATCTCCCTTGGATCGCGGCACTATTTCAGCAGGGCCCCGGCGGCCCCGGCCCCGGCTCGCCCTGTGTGGGGCAGGGAAGGAGAGTCCCTGTGCAGAGGGAAGGACGTGCCCACGCCCCTGGCACAGGCTGGTGCAGTTCCCACGCTCCACAGTCGGCTCTGGGCTGGGCCACCCCGGCTGGGCAGGAGCCAGCCCCGGGTTCTCTGCGGGTACCTCTGCTGGGAAAGTGGGCCCAAAGTTGTGCAAGTCCTAGCGTGAAGGAAGGCGGAGGAGACGGTGGGGAGAGCCACTTTACCTTGGGCTCCCCAGGTCCCTCGGGCGACGTGCCTGGGCTGGGCCCCCTTGCCCTGCGGGGTCAGAGGTCCCCCCAGGCGCGCAGCTGCAGAGCCAGCACCCCCAGGGCGACAGTGCCGAGGCTGCTGCCCACACCGGGGGCACCATCACAGTCCTTCTTGTCCACTTCACACCTGGACTGCTGGCACAGCACCCCCTTGAAGCCCACGGGGCAGATGCAGCGCTGGTTCTGGTAGCAGGTGCCGCCGTTCTGGCAGAGCAGGAGCTCGTCGTCGCAGACGTTGGCTACGAGGCGAGAGGGAGGGATGGAGGGAAGGGTGTGGGTGTTAAACCCCTTGATTGCAGCAGGAGCTAGAAGATTTTAGCTCCTAGCTGTTCAATTATCCAACCCTCATAGTGCTAGAGCACTTCCAAGGCCAGAGGAACACAGTGGGAGGTGCAAACTCCACAGACAAAGCTACGAAGTCGTTTTGGAGTTGGGAGGAATGGCTGGAATCTGGTCACCCTCCACCCCGAGCATCGCAGTGCTGAAGATCCCCCTCCTGCCTGGACCCATCCACACGTCCCCATGCCTCTCCAGCCCCAGTACTCACGGAAGCAGCCCTGTCTCCAGTAGTAGTTGGGCAGGCAGTCGTCGCACTTGGGCCCCGTGGCGCCTTCCCTGCATTCACAGTAGCCGGTCTCGTTGCAGCGGTCGTGCATGGAGCCGATCTGGTTGCAGTTACATTCTGGGCAGAGACATTCTGGTCAGAGCCTGCCCTGCCTGGGGCCTCTGTGCATGCCCATTCCCTGATGGAGGCGTTGGGGACTTTGGAAAAGCCCAGCAATGTGCTACAGGAGAGACATTATAGACCAAGGAAGGACACGGTGGCCTGAGACACCCTGATGGTGCAAACAGCCATGGGTGCAAAGGCCACTCCTCTTGGGAGCTGAGCCCCTCCCGGCTCAGCAATGCATCTGAATCCAGTTGGAACAACTGTTTTACTGTGAGGGTGGTGAGGCCCTGGCACGGGTTGCCCAGAGAAGCTGTGGCTGCCCCATCCCTGGAAGTGTCCAAGGCCAGGTTGGACAGGGCTTGGAGCAACCTGGGCTAGTGGAAGGTGTCCCTGCCCATGGCAGGGGGTTGTAATGAAATGATCTTTAAGGTAGATCCCTTCCAACCCAAACCATTCTGAGATTCTACGATATTATCTGGGGTTTGTTTTCAGGGAAGAGCTTCCTTGGGAAGCTGCACAGACTGTAATAACCCCCATCCTCGCGGAACACGCAGGTGGGCACACCATCCTCCAGCCAGGGGTTGAACCGAAGCCCACCCCACAGAGTGAGGACCCAGATGAGCCATCCCACACGCCGGCGGCCCTGCCCGGGGCTGGCACACTCACCTATGCAGACATTCTCGTCGTCCAGCTCGGCCGAGCTGTTGCGGTAGAAGCCCAGGCGGCAGTGCTGGCAGTGCTGCCCCCGCGTGTTGTGCTTGCAGCTCACGCAGGTCACCACGTTCAGAAAGTCGATGTAGCTGCAGCGGTTGGAGTGCCCGTAGCACTCACAGTCTGCGGAGAGGACGGGAGACCTGGGGAGCTGGGCTGGGCACACCCTCCCTCCCGCTGGGCGGAGGAGAGGAACCACGCTGGGGGATGCTCCTGCCCGGGTGGAATGTCATGGCCTGGGAAGGATGAGTGCACACAGTGGTGGCTGTTCTTCACCACCGTGGGGGCAGTGGGGCTGGAAGTCATCGCTCAGAGAGCAGAGCAGGGTGAGGGTCTCTGTCCCTTTGGGGTGTGGAGCCAGCCCCTGGCAATCCCAGGACACGATGTCTTGAATGGGCTGCCCAGGGAAGTGGTGGATTCTCCATCCCTGGAGGTTTCTAAGATGAGACTGGATGTGGCACTTAGTGCCATGGTCTAGTAACCACGGTGGTAATGGATCAAGGGTTGGACTTGATGATCTCAGAGGTCCTTTCCTACCTGGCTGATTCTATGATTCTTTCAGGAACTGCATAATTGTGGGAGCAGGCAGTGGAGGGGAGTCAGGTGCTAATTACACAGCTGCCTTGTTAATGAGCAGAGCTGGGTTTGGCTCTGGGGAGGCTGCAGGACCCATGAGGAGCTGAGCTGGGGTGCAGAGCCCTGGTGAAGGCTTTGCCTCGCTGGGCACAGAGGGGACTGGCCCATGGGATGGGGCTGGCAGAGGGTGCTCAGATGGACCTGAAGCTGCTGTGTGTCCAGGTAAAACCTTGCTGTCTCTGGCTCTTTTCCCTCTGTGTCCCTTCTCAGCACACCCCTTGTGTCTCCCAAGCCAATGCTGCTTGAGAAGGGTGATGACTCTCAGGTTAAATGTTTAAAATGAGTCTGTACAAGGCAGTGTGGCTTGGGTGGGGTCATTCAAAAGCTGGTGGACAGGTGTGTGAAGGTTTGAAGCAGGGCTGCTTGGCACAGCACTGCCTGAAGGCTGCTGGTGGGGTGGGAGATGCCACTGTCACTTGGCCAAGCGTTGTTCCTGTCCCCAGGGCTGACCTCTCTCTGCTGTGGGCACATGTTAGAACACAACCAGCCAGGCTGAATTTGTAGCCAGAGGAATTGCATGATGTGGTTCTTGTGTTTGCTTTTTATTACCATGAGCTGGGACAGTGACAACCTTGCGGTGTCAGATCCAGGTCCTGGATCTTACTGGGAGTTTAAAAGGATAATGCAGGAGGAAAGGAGATGACTTAGTTCCCTTGTGTCCCAGCTGTCCTGGTCAGGAGGTTCCCAGCCAGCATGGGCAGGGAATAATGTGGGAAGAAATGGTGTCATCCAAGTCTGAGCTTCCCCAGCCTCTGGAGAGGAGGAGGAGGAAAGCTCAGAGCTGGGACTTTGTTCCAGGCAAGTAACATTAAACATTCAAGGATCGCAGAGGGATGGGATGGGATGGGATGGAAGGATGTGGGTTGCCATGCACATGCAACTGGAGAAGGAGACTTGTCTCAATGAGATGATGACCAGGGAAGATGAAGCAGGGCAGAGGTTTCCCCCTGGTTCACAGCTGCCTGAGGAGGAGCTGGCAGTCTGTTGTAATCTTGACCTGCTGTGAAACAACTTCTGCCTCGTCAACCAATATCCAAAGAATTTCAGCTCAAATTATTGTGTCTGCAATTCCCAAGTGTTGTTGCAGTCTAGGTATGCACTCCTACATGCAGCTGACAGCTAACCACGACTTGGATAGCCAGACCCTCCCCATGCTCTCCATGTCTGAGTCTCTTGGACCACATCACCTGAGTGAAGACAAGGAGCCCTGGAGCACCACCCTCCCTCCTCTTACCTCTGTATGATTCGATAGGAGCCACTGGGCCAGAGTTTGGTTTGAGCCGGATGAGTTTTGAGCTCTTTGAGGACGCTTAAGAGAAATCAGAGACACGCTTTTTCTCACTGCTTAACACCACGAGCAGCTCTGCCACGAGAACAATGCCAAGCCAGGAACACCCCTCTCTATGTCTGCACCAGGAGCTGGGAGCTGCTAAATTCCTCTTCTTCTTCTCCCCTCCTCCAAGTATGATACATGAAAAACTCCATGCACGGCTCTATGCAGAGCTGGGAGGAGCTACTCACGCATCTTCACTACTCACACCACCCCCCCCCCCCCCCCTTTATGCACGTTCAGTGGTGTGGATTGGGTTCTTTGGGATAAGGATCTACAGGTCTAAAAAGCTTAAAAACAACATCTACTTGGTCTGGTGGCGGTCACGCCAACTGGCACCCAAAAAGCTGCGAGGAGGAAAAGTGCTACGGAGGTGGGATCTGGCAGGGGGTGCTACAGGGTCCCGCAGAGCAGGTGCTGCCCCAGCCTGGCCCGTCCCCAGCAGCACGTACCTGTTTTTTTGCCGTGCCTCTTGCCTGCAGAGTGTGCTGTGCGCCCTGCTTTGCTCTTCGGAGCCGCTACGCCAGAGGACAAAACACGCCTGAGCGCTGTGGTGGGCAGAGGGCTCCCAGGGCCAGCCCAGTACGGCTGGGCTGGGATGTTTCCTCGGGACAAGGGGCTGCCCCAGCCGGGATGGGGCTCCCTGGGGGCTGTGCTGCCAGTCAGACTCCCATCCCACATGGAATGACCCAGCGCTGGGGGTAAAGGCCATCGAGCTGCTGGGGTTTGGTTGGTGCTTGGGGGGTTTTGCGCTTTGGTGACCCCAGTGAGGGGCAAGGTGGAGCAGCACTGAGGTCCCACAGGGTGTTTGGGAACAGGTCTGGCTGCTTATTTGTGGAACACGAGCCCTTGCAAGTGCTGTGGGGCTCAGGGAGGCGCTGGGTGGGCACTGCCAGCTACAACCACCTGTGTCAGTCACGTCCTGACAGTAACAGCCCTCAGTGAGAAGGGGGCCATGGCTCTGAGGAGGCTCCACGGGCTGTTGGGAACAGGCTGATCTGCTAACAAGGCTTGGCCCTGATGGGCCAGAGCAGCCCATCAGCCCAATTAACCTTGCCCAATTGACTTTGGCCATGGCATAAAACTCCTTCCCAAAGCAGCCCATGGGCTCTGCCAGCCCCAAACATGTCTCCAAAAAGACCTCCGTGGGGCTGGAGGAGCAGAACTGAGCTGAGATGGACCCTCCAAGAAGGAGACTAGATTATTTGATGGTCATGTTGAGGACAGGTGGGTTGTCCTGGCCTGTGGCACTGAGGGAGAAACCTGTCCTGTCCTGACCCTGGGGACGGGCACAGCCTTACCTCGCATGTTCTTGGGAGGGTCTGGGGGCTTCAGCTTGCGTCCAAGTGCTGCTGTGTTTGGTGGGTCATCACAGGTGGCATCAGAGAGAACATCAGATTTAACACAGATCTCCCCCTTGTGTGCTTACAAAGGTGGCAAAGGGACACTGGAAGCTCTAGGCAGGTCTCTAGGGTGGGTGAGTGGAGCCGTATCTGGTTGAGGATGTGCTGAAGCAGGAACCAGAGACAAAGTCTCCCAAAAATTAGCATTTCTAAATGTGAAGAGAGACAGGGAAAGCGTTCCTAAGGGGGGGCTGTGGGAGCTGCTGGGTGGCTGAGTGTTGGCATGTGGTCTTTACATTGCCCAAGCACGGAGAGAAGCCAAATCTGCAGACCACTGTCAGGACTCAGCACAGCCCTCCTGGTTCAGCACAGACTGTCAGCACCACCCAGCCCTGATGGCTGTGGTGAGGCCCCATCCCCTGTTACTGCACCAAATGCAGTTTGTCTCTCTGTGAGGCCAGAGACAGGCCCAGGGTGCTGTGTTCTGCACTGGAAGTGATGCCCATGTCTACAGCAGGAGCAGCTACAGGATCTTGGGTGGGAAATGGGAGCTGAGCACCAGTGGGCAGCTGCTGAAGTGTGTGCTGGTGGGAACCCTGAGGAGGAGAAGCTTCAGCCTTGACAGCCAGTGTGAAACCTCCCAAGGTTCCCACCAGGAGCAGCTCACCTTAGGCAGTCACTCAGGAGAACAAGAAGGCATCTATGCTCTAGACAGCACAGGCTTATCCATTTACAGAGTGATTCTGCTCTACAAACAGGCTCCGGTCTCGGGAGATGACAGGATTTCCATGATCCTCTCTGTTCACCCCAGCAGCAAGCTGTGAACAATCCCTTCTACCACTTACCATCCTCATCTTTCATGTACACGACTAAACCCCGAGGCTCAAAGCAGCCTCACCAGAGTCCCAGCTGCGTGCAGGGCACAGACAAACCCTGAGCTTTTTCCCAGGTGGAGGAGGAGAGAGGCATGGAAAGCAGAGGTTCAGAGCGGGAAACTAAAGTGTTCTCGGAGCACCAGGAGCTGGTTCTCACTGGGAGGACCCAGCTCAGCCACTGAGTGGCTCCTACCTTCTGCTCCTGGGCCAGCCTGGGCCGGGGGAGAGCCCACCTGCAGCGGGGCAGCCGCCGACAAGTCGGTGTAGTCTTGGAGTGATCAGAGGGGAAATCTGTGTTACTGGGTGTGCTGGGAGGGCTGGTGTCCCACGAGCAGCCCTGCAGAACCCCGAGGGGGAGCCAGAGCCCCAAAGCAAACACCCCAACCCTGTGCCATGCGGGTTCTCGCACCTGCTTGATGCCAGCACTGCTGCTGGCACAGGGTGGCCAGTGTGTCCTCAGGCTCTGGAGGGGCTGGGAAGCCCTTGGATTGGGAGGGGCAGGATGGCAGCATGTGCTGAGCTGCCTGTTCTCAGCTCAGCTCAACACACAGGGGTTTGCTCATGTGTTTGCATCAGCACCTGCTCTGCACCCCTTTGAAATAACAGCACTGAGAAACAGCACAGGTGTATTGGGACAGAGGCACCAAGTCCTGGTTCCTAAACCCAACTTCCAGGCCTTCCCTCAGAAAATGCCAGTTTGCAGGGAAATTAAACCAGCAAGAAATTTATAGCTCACTTGTTTGATTTCCCTGCAAACCCTCACCCCCACTGGCTCCATCCCCCTCCCCAGCTCCTCAGTATTGGTAACAATCTTCAGGTTTGCTAGAAAACAAACCAAGGACTAAAAATTTTAAAAACCATATTATTAATTTCGAGCTCCAGTTGGATAACATAAGGAGGAGGAGGAAAAAAAAAAAATAAAAAAAAATCTCTTGATCCTTGCCAAGTTTCAAAGGACAAACCCGAGTAGGAGAAAAATGTGATTTCCCAGCCTTGTCAGGGGGATGATAAACAATACAAAATGAAAAAGTAAAAAAAAAAATAATTTTTTTAATGACGAGCTGTAAGAGAAGGTGATAGACATTGTCCTTTTCAGCTGGAAAGTGGAAACCAATTGATATTAATATGGTGTTAAAGAGAATATGAAAAAAGCCCGGTGCAAATTGGCAAGGGTTTAATTAGAGTAACAATAAAAAACAGCCCTGGAGGCATTTTGCTTTTTAGTCATTCACATACACCTCCACTCAATCACATTTACAGAGCCAGGAAAATTATTAATGCTCATTATCCTGAGAACCTTTCCCTTGCAGCTCAGGGCCATAATGGACAGTTTTACATTTTGGGAGGGGGAGAAGCACATTTTGCCCCCAGACCCAGGTTGTACAAATGGGAAACGATGGGCAGCTCTGATGGAAATCGCTGTTCTTGGTGGGTTTCTGGAGAAGTGGAATAAATTGAACAAAGAAGTCACACTATATAGCAAAAACCATTGGGGCAAACAGTGCTGGGGGTAGTGGGAGGCCCCAAAAAAGTCCTGCTCAAAACATAAACAGGGGTCCCCTTTCTGCAGGACCCCCACAAAGCCAGGCTGTCAGGAGCTCATAACCATCAAGTAGGGCTCAGGTTCATTCTGTTTTTCCCAGAGGTGAACTGGCACTGCTGAAACTGCCACAAACCAGAGAGAGGAGGGCAAGCTTATTTTTTTGCTTATTTTGAACACGGGAAAAAATGTAACAAATGGCAAGGAAGAATCTGACAGGCTTCAAGGAAGGTTTTGAAATAACAGAACCGCAGAAGGCAAAGGAGAATAGCACTTAATTCATCCTCCTTAGGGTAACTCTGCAGTTTCCCTTTCTTCTACCCATTTTGGCAGCCTTGACTGCCTTCAGACCACAGGCCTTGCCCATGAACTCATTCTTCTCTCCCCTCTCACCGCACAGCAGGTGACAAAAGCATCCTCCAAACACGACCACAGCTCCACCTTGACCACGGAAAACACCACGAGCAGCCAAAGGAAGCAGATGTCTAGCAGATCCATGCAACCCAGAGACAACCCAAATCTAATCTACTCCTCTAAGCCTACGTGCAGCGTTGCTTTCTGCCTTGCTCCTACCCACTAGTGTGCGGAGGCACGAAGGAGAAGGGGGAAAACACATCGGGCTGGCTTTAAATACCTGCTTTTTTCTGTGTTTCTGTCACGGGCACAGAGGCAGCAAACTCAGAGGCTGGTCTGATGACGCTTGCTTATGGTGGGAAGAAGAAATTCAGAGGGCAGAAGACAGTGTGTCAGTTAGAGGGTGAAGCGGCGCGGGGATGGGGCAGGGCTCTGACAGGACTTTTTTAAGTGCCTGGTTGACTGAGGTGGCTTTAAAGCAAGGAGGGATTTTAATGCTTCTAAAAGTCAGAAAGGGGGTGACAACAGGGTGTCTCACTTTGGGATTCTGACCCTGCTTGGGGTTATTGTATCTCCTGCAAACGTGTGCCCTACCAGGAGCTCGAGGGGTCACCTCTTTAACAGGATGTTTCCCTTGAGGTCCAGGTGAGTTAGATCTGCACCCTGTGGGGATGTCACAGTGTTTAAAGAAGTACTTTATGTTTTGCAGGGAGGAGGAGGAACGTCTCTGGCCAAAAGCAGATCAGAATTAAGCTGGGTCTTGATTCCCTATTGCTGGTCAAGAACACAGGTGGACTTTTGTCATCAAACCCAGCATGTTGTCCAGGTAGGAGCAGGTCCCTGAGTTCCTGGGTGGCCCTGGCTGCCTTCTTATGTGGGACAGCCCCTCCAGGGACTGTCACCACTCTGTGGTGGGACCTGGCTGTGCAGAAGCACAGATGGGGATCTGGATAGGGACAAGGAGCTCAGGCCTGACTGTATCTGTCAGGGATCTGTCAGCTGGGCTGCCATCTATTAATTTTGTCCCTTGCCCTTAGTTAATGAAAGCATGAGGAAAACATTTTCTCTGGCCAGGAAGCAGGTTTGGAGAAGGAATAAACCCCAAGGTGCATGATGTCTTTCAGGTCCCTCAGAGAAGTGTGGCAGGAGAGATTTTCCCCCACCACCCCCAGCCCCACGGATGCGTCCTGCCCACGCCAGTTGTACAACACAAGGCACTGCAAGTCAGACACAAGAGAGGCACTAAGCACATCACCCACATGTACACAGCTAAAAATTAGCCCTAAAATGTTGCTACAGGAGAGCATGGATAAAAATCAAATGACCCCAAGCATTTGGTGTGGATGGAGATGTGACCACTGCTCCTGCTGGGGCCGTGCTGATGGTGTGAGCTCCAGGCAGGGGTGGTGGATGAAGCTCCTCCTGCACATGTGCAGCATGGATGTGGGTGAGGAACACTTCTTAATAGAGCTGAGACTTCCACTTTGTTTCCAGGGTCACTCCAACTCCATGGAAGTTGGTCCTAAGCCCTCAGCTTCCTGATTAACTCCCCAAGCAGGGTACTTCCATGAATATATCTGTATTTGCATAAACATGCAATCAAGTTTCCTCATCCCTTTGACTGGCTTCTGGCAGCTCCCCCAGACAGACTGTTACTAACATACTGTGGGTGTAAAACGTCCTCCTGGGAAATATCAGGCCCTGAAAGCATGGCAAGGGGAGGAATGCGTGTCTAATTCCCCCATGAGAAGCTTAAAAAAAATGTCCTGCTGTTAAGTTTTATCTGCTCATTTCCAAAAGACAAGCGAAAACGCCGTCTCCTTGTTCACGGGGGGAGAGAAGGAGGAACCCCCAGGGAAAGGACAGAAGTTTTCCTCCACGGGGTGATTTTGGAAATTAGGAAAGGATGTTTCTGGCACGTGTGTGTGAGTTCCAGCCCCACATGCTCCCTGGCTGATTGTACAGCAGCTGCCTGGGGTACGTTGGCAGGAGGTCAGGGATGGAGCAGGATGGGGTGCAGTTCCCCTCTCCTTCCAGAGAGATGTGTGGTTTAACTTTATTATGGGACAGTAAAATCTTCCTTGCCTTCCTGCCCTGCCTTGTGGTGGAGCTGTAAGAGAGCACCTCTTGCAGCTGTGCCAGCCCTGTGCAGGACAGCATTGCCAAGTGGCTCTAGGAGGGATGGATTTTGAAAACCTTCCGTTTTTAAAAAACAACAAAATTGAGAGGAAAAAAAGGGAAAAGCCATGGTTCCCCCACATCCAGTCCTGGCTTTACTTCTTGCTGTCCTGATGGTAACAGGGGACAGCTGGTGAGGTGGGATGGCAACCCATGGGGTGGTTGTCTCTTGGCTTTGAGGTGGACCTGCTGTGGCTGTCCCCGCTTACAGGGACCATAAACCTTGCTCCTGGCTCATGTTGGACAGGAGCTGAATAGAGACAACAGCAAAGCAGAGCTGCCTGGAGGCTGGGAGATGTGAAATGAGTCAGGATGATTTTTATCCATGTCTCTTTATCATCATCCTACAGAGCAGATATCCAGGGCCACCGACACAGCAGTCCCACGGGAAGCAGCTGAAAAGAGGAGCTGGGAAGAGTCCCGGCCTCCAGGTGAGGCAGCGAGCGTGGCACCCACCTGGCTGGGTGGTGGTGGCTGGTAAGGGCGTGGTGGTGGTGGTGGTGGTGGTGGTGGTTGTTGAGGTGGTGGTGGTGGTGGTGGGCGTTGTTGTGGTGGTCGTTTTTGCAGTGGTAGTTTTTGGGGTGTTTACCCGCTGCGGTCGCTCATACACTGACAAGCAAAGAGAAGAGGTGGGAGGCACTTACTGGGGGGAATGGAGGGTTTCCTTGCCAGCCTGCACTCCCACGAGGCTGTTGCTGCTGGGCTGAACTGGTGACTGATTTCTCAGCATGGTCACAACTGGGGCACCGAGAGGATTAAGGCGATGGTAGCTCGATGACACACATGAGTGTGTGTGTGTGTGTGTGTGTGTGTGTGTGTGTGTGTGTGTGTGTG